GAATAATCAAATCTATTGCGTGGTTTGTATTTAAACCGTTAGTAATAATAAATAATAATATCGATGCATGTGCATGGATGCACAGCAATACTTGCAATAAAACTTAACTTATAGTTAACCAGTTACTGGACATACTTTCTAGTATCATTCAATTTTCTAGAAACAGTTGCAATTTTTCAAAATAATATTAACAACCATACCATTCATTTAACTACATCAAGTTCACACAGATTTCTTATAATAGTTTCAACATGGAACAGTTTCGTTGAGATGTTTAAATCAACAACAATCTTTGTTTTCCAAACAATGGTATTTATTTATTTAAATCATAATGAATAATATCTAAGCGATTAGATATCGTGCTTTTTCCAACTGCACGCGAATTCTAATGAACGTATTTTATTACATATATTATATTATCGAATATCGTCGGAAGAGTTGAGTTTCCGTATCTCTTGGCTGACCTCACACGCAACAAGCCGATCGAAACCTTGAACTTGATGTTGGAATAAACAGATATCGCTGCCATAGTTTCTTCGGCATTGAAGGTTTTTACGTTTTTATTCGAAATATTATTGATGTTAATTTTTTTTCTATATTTGGACAGCGATTAGAATTTTGTATTCTATGAACTGCGTCTGTTGTACAATTTAACCTAGTATTAAGAAAATTAAGAGGACAAGTTAGATGTTAATCACCTTCCTGCTTTTGCGCATACTAGGCTAGGTATTTTGTCTGGGTATGTTGGACTCAATAAATAATAATACCAACTATGAAACTCTCATCATAATGCCGCCAGGCATTATTTCATGAGGGGAGGGTAAAGAACACTGTAATTCCCACTCTCAACTAAACTTTTATTCTAATTGGTCACATTCTATAATTATTCCAAAGATCGCAAGTCTATTAGAACTTCGTTTACAAATGTGTCTATGTGTTATTACTTTATTACTTCTTCTACAAGATTATTCCTATTCGTCATTATTACTTCTACAAGAGTACCTGAAGCAATTCACATGTGCTCATGTGGAAGAGGAAGTTTGCTCATACTGCTTGATATCTAACTAGCCAAAGTTGGGATAGAATTCGGTACTACTTGATGCCAATCGATGTTCTTATGACCACTGCAGACTTATGTGGAAATTTAGCTTACGATTAGTAAAAGTTAACTTTTTTATTTAATTAATTTATTAACTTTTTAATATTAGGTGTATAATTTCTAAGTATATTTGGCAAAATTCTACTTTTTGTCGATGTTTTCTCATTGTCAACTGATAAATTTCGATATGGACCTGCGTTGATTACTTTTTCGAGAATATCTATTTTCCAGACGTTTTTTTTTCATTAAAACTTTTTATAAACGTTTTCGATAAACTTTTCGAACCGATTTTGAAAATTTAAAAACTGTTCGAAAAACATCAGTTGCGAATTGTGCTGACTATAGTTTTTGGTAAAGATCGGTTGGACCATTTTACCGTAATTAATTTGTAAAACATGCGTATTTTTCCTAGTATTAGATTTCATTCATGGTCTATACAAACATTTTAAAGAACTATAAAGGGTTGTTTACTTAGTATATATCATTAATGTTTGGAATAATCAAAATTGGAGAAGGTAACTCAATTCTTATTGATTTAGCCGTTAATTTTATAAATATCCACAAGTTCATGCAACTGCATCTATTTTATAATAATTCAACAGAACTAATAAAAATAAAAATACTCAAAACTTATAGTTTTGATGACTAATATAAAATAGTTTTCTCTTGTTGTTTTTTGTATGAAGATGCGCTTAGAACTTATTTGTTTATTCTTTGCAAAATTATGCATAAAATATAAATATTTTTCAATCAAAATATTGAATAAAAGATTTACATAGCAAATAGAGAAGATTATGGTATGGTACTTGTTTAAAACCTGTTGTCGTATATATTATTTAAGTATTATTAACATCTTTTGCATGAGTCTTCAATAAAGATAAGCCGGTGCAATTTTTTTTTCAATTCAATATTATAATTAATTCAATTCAATCATATACAACAGAGTTATTGACAGAACTCTATTAGCTAGAGGGCTCTAAGTTAAACAAAAAATATAAATCAAAGCAGGGTATACAGAAAAAAACATAAATAAATTAATAAAAAACATAAACTATAATAATATATAGAAAATAAATAAAAAGGGAAAAAATGGTAGTAATGGCTCCAATAAGCAATTCAATATGAAACACAATTTTTACATTAAGTTTATAGGAAGTTAAATGTGAAGTCTTCTTAATAGGCGGTTTATAAAGCATATGAGCCAAAGTTGCATTAGTATGATAGTAAATTTTTGCTTGATGTTTGGTACTGGTGTTTTTGGTAATATCTAAGTCAAAGCCAAAGATGCAAGTGGCAGTAGATAAATGCTAATATTTGAATATTCTAATACATTACAAGCGCTCTAGAACATATGTTTTAAAAAATGCTGTATTAACTTTCCTTAATCATTTGAACGATATTATTAACCGTATTAAAAACAGTATATTTCAATCTGAGGAAATAAAAATGATATGTTCAAAGATTCTCCTTATTGTGTACTACTTCTTGTATCTGGTCATCACTGGCTGTATCCAGTATTTACTAATATATATGTTTTTATCTATTTCTATGAATAAACAAATTATTACACATTCCAACTTTAATCAAATCAAAAGTTCGTTAGAGATCAGAACAGTATCATCATTCAACAAAGGGTAACGAAGCCTAATTCGCACGACCGATTAATTTGTATGATTTTTTTTTTGTAAATTAATTACATAGTATTTTGCTGACTGATTAGTAGACAAACAAAACAAACATTTTTACTTGGAGTGACTTGCGTGAATGATTGTAATGTATGCATAATTGATCAGCAAACCGTTGCGCGTCATGTGATTTTGTCTGTTAGTAATTTGTCTAGTCAGTTAATTAATAACTTATTCATTGAATTTATTAGATAACGTCAAACTATTCTCATTATTTTTTAAATTGAATAGTATTAGAACACCGTGTTTTTACAAGCTGTTTTGAATGATAGGCATAGGAACTATTAGATGGCAACCCAATGGTGGTTGCAATGGCAGTTTTGTAATGTTGATAATATTTTTGGCTTTTTGCAACAACGCGGGGATTTTTTTTATGGGAACTTATTTTTAGAGGTAAAAATGTTTTCTTTATTCACATGGGAACATATTTTTTGAAATAAAAATCCGTCACTATATTAAATCACTATATTTAATGCGGATTTGATACAGAACTTTGTGATTGCAAAACCAAATTTTTAATACTATACTCAAACTGTTCTTTTAATTCAAAATTTCATGTAAAATTAAAAAAGTGTTATTACATTAAATAATGTATGATATAAAAGATTCCTGATTTCAGACATACGCATTGTCCATATTACCATTTATAAATAAAATCAAATATGTTTCTTTATGGGGTGTAACTGTTAAGCGCGCTGCCTTGTGAGGTTCGTGACTTCGAACTCCACATCCCCATTCTGAACAACTTTTTCTAATTCCAATTGAAAATAGCACATTAGGGACACTGCGATGTGAAATGGCAATGGAAAATCTTTAACACTTTTTTCACCTGAATCGAATTGGTGTTTAACTCTGCTCAGTGACTAGTGCTCACAGACCTGCCCTCGGGCAGTACTACCTATCATTTATCTTTATCTAATAGCTAAAATTTTGCCAGTTGCCAAGAATCGATGCTAAGGATTAGTTTCAATAATCACAACTTAAAATCTTCTTGAATTACTGATAAAATTTGTATACAAAATACATTTAATCAATAGTTCTTTGCAATAAAAATTCAATAAGGTTAATTTTAACTAGTAGCTTCCAAACCATGTGTATATGATATTCATATCAATAGTTTTTCAATTCGAAATTTTATTTGCATTGTTTTTGATAATTTTTGGATTCTGTAGCATAAATATGCTACATTCATATTTATTGTTATCTTTATCACTATCAATTTATTCAAACCGATCAGTTTCTATATTTTTGAAACTAAGCTCGAAAAAAAGTTTAGGAAAATATTATTTTAGTTCAGGATTTCATTTGGCAGGATTTGCTGCATATTTACAATATTACACAATTGACTTACGATTTCGTGGATACCAAACTGTGAATTATTATTAGCTATTATTTAACTGCCCGTAGGGTAAGTTATAGTAATGGACAAAAATTGAAATTGAACATTTTTGCATATCTTCACGTTTTCAAGTTTTCTAAACATTTTGGCATACCTTACAACTAGAAAAAATGGATGTGTGTGTATGTATGGATACAATTTTTTGTCCACGTTTTTGGACGCACGGATATACCGATTTGGATGGTTCAAAAGTATTCTATTTCTATTGATAGAGAGATGTGCTGATCAGTTTTTGGCAAAGGCAAGTGCAGCCGTTTTGAAGATACAGAGCAAAGAGTGCAGAACATGGAAATCGAATTTTTGAGAGAACAGAGCATCTAATTTGAATGATTCAAAATGCATTCAATTTGTAATGACGGGGAGAAGTGGTGATTAGCTTTTGGCAAAGGCAGGTCCATTTCGGAGATACCATGCTAAATGTAAAACAATGGCAGTTTTAAGAAGAACTAAGCATCCGATTAGAATGATTCAAAAACCTGCTTGTGTTGACGAAACGTTTGCTTTTAGGGAAAAATTGCTTTTTATTTTTAATTTTCAAAAATTATTTTTTTTAATCAATTTTATTTGAATATTTCCTTATGGTACGGAAAGTTCCAGTTATTTGCCTTAAGGCATGATGCCGTACATTAGCATTTTTTTTATTCAATTATGGTTCAAATGAAAATAATCAAAAATATATTACCGAAATTTCTCGCCATCTTCGACCAACACTGTTAAAATTATATCAAGTTTATGCACGTTCATACATCCATAATGTATTTGTATTATAAATACAAAGGCATTCCCATCAAGGCGATTCAGTTCGGACACAGTCGGTTGGTTATATGTTCTGCGATTCGTTCATCGTTCTATTCATATTATCTGTATTAAATATCTTCACTTGGAATAAACGGAACCAATGAAATAATTCACTCGAATTACCTCGATTTAAATTTCAAAGAACTCAGCAGAACGCATTACGTATGTTCTCCAGTATCATATGAGGTTAGAATCATGTGTGGACATTTTTTACCAATCAGTGTACTTTAACACGTTTCGGATCAAAGACAAAAATAAATTTATTTTGGACGGAGAAGATAAGTCAGTGATGTCGGTGATTGTGAAATAATTATATTTACACGGATTTTTTTAAGGAGTGATAGTTTTGGAATTATGGGTGGTAAATTTTTATTGTGTTTGGGTTTTATAAGTTTATGTTTAGTGACTATTAGTTTTGCACGTGAGTATAATTCCAAATTATTATAAGTGTCTTTAACTAGTTAATAGTGTTTGACGAATATACTCGTCATGCGGAATTGGCGGAATTTTGTGTTTTGACGAGTATACTCGTCATGCGTATAAAATAGTGATCATTTGAATTGATTTTTTGAAAAAAAAAACAAATCATATTCTGAATTGTTAAGTAATAGAATATTTCGAAGCTTTGACTCAACTGTATAAAATTAGTAGTTTTAAGTCAGATTTTACCTGAAGGTGCATGATCTTCCTGATTGTATCCTGAAACGTGGAAAAAATGTACTAAATCAATAATGATTGACATTTTCTTATCAAAATAATATTTCCTGTTGTTTATTTTGAAAATGGTTTTTGCTTTCCATCAAAAACTATTCTTACTTTCACTTTTTACTTTTAAGAAGTAATATGTGGTAATAATATTTTTTAATTTTGCAAAATAAACCCAATTTTATTTTAGCAGCGCAAATTACTCTTTGATTGACGAATTTACTCGTCATGAGCTCGATTCAGACGACACAAAACTGTCCGCATTGTTCGATGTGAGTGCCACAGTCAACTGGTTAATGAAATATTTTATAAAAAAATATTCATTGTTATTACTGTTTATTGATGAAGAAAGGTTTCGGATTACCAATAAATTTTGATTCGTTTCGTTTATTACAATTTTGAATACATATTTTATATTAAGATAAATCTGATTTTGATTTATTGACACGGGGACATTTGAATATTGTTAATATTCAAATATTAATATAACTAATATTTTAATTTTATAAACGCAATAAAAAATAAGGCATAAACAAACATACAAACTTTTTTATCACAACACAAAACATAATTTTATTTTTTGTTGACAATAAAAACACATTCTAATGCGTGTGGTGTATGGCATCCTGCCTTAAGGCAAATTGCAGGAACTTCCCGTACCAAAAATTCATTTTTTTAATATAGATGAATTTTTTTTTATACTTTGAAAAAATTTAATTTAAAACAAAATATTTTCTTGAAAAAAAATGAATTTTCATATTTTGAAATTTTTTGGAAATTTTGAACTTTTTTTCAAAGCAATCGCGCTGCTTTAACTGCAAAAAGACGAAATATCAAAGGACGAAGACACACTTACACAAATACATTCATTTTTTCTAATTATGCCAGAATGTTCAGAAACATCTGAAACGTATACCACAGAAAGTACTAATTTATTTATAACATTTTATTTGAGTTAAAAAAATGTGTGTTAGGTGAATATTTGCAAACTGTAAAGCCACACAACTTTAAGCAGTGAATATTGATTTTTAAGTATTTTTTCCAAAGAATTTTAGAAAGAAACATTATTTACTTGACAATCAAATAGAAGAATATTTCCTTGTACTTGCATTGAATAATAATTATTTTTGCGCAAGATTGCACGTCTTGGAAATTCCTTCAGTTGATATTTCTAATACTTTCAATTGAAGTGTTGAAATATTAAATATTGATCTTTAAATCTGTTTTTATTTGAACTGGTATTACAGTTTTTTCGAATACACGTGCTATCGATACAGTGCTGAACAAATGAATAAATATGTTAGAATTTGGAATGCGCTATGCTCCTTCATTCATTTTTTTAAAATGATTAATTGTTATTTATTATTATCTTACAAAAGCAGACAATCTTATATATTAATATGTAAATGTTTTATTTATCGAAATAAAATTAAAAAGTGAATGTGAATAATTTTCACATTCAATTTTTATCCCTTTCATTAGTGTACTTACGTACAAATAAGATATTATCACCAATATAGCAAAAAAAAGAATGTATGAACAAGATAAATAAAAATGCTAAATATTTTCAAGTAACTAATTAAAATTCTGTTCAAATATTGTCAAAATTTTCTATCAATATTATTTACAACCTTTACAACTATTTGTAAATGTTATTTTCCATTAATTTAATTAACTTATTATTTTACATTTAATATTATAACATTTATTAACATGAATATTATATTTATCTTTATTTCTAACTTACTAGTTAGTAGGGGAGACTGGGTACGGTTGTAACCCTTTTTTCTGATCACCAATTTTGTTACTTTACTAATTATACAGGAAAAAATATTTTAAATGGTAATTTGAACATTTGTCTATGTGAAAATACTGAAATACTAAAATGGTTTAAATGGGCTTTTTTTGTCAAAAATAGGTAACACACACAACCTAAAGGTTAGGTGGTGTTTAAATGGTTAGGTCCCTTCTATTTAAACAAAGCTTATGAATATAATATAAAAAAAATAAACAAGAAACCTTTGATAAGTCTTTTTATATTTGTATTGAATTTTTCTTGCCTTTATCTTTCATATTATGTCTTACTTGAATTAGACTTTTCTTTATTTGTTTAAATTTCACCTAAATAGATCATAAAATGAATGTCACGTAAAACAAAACTAATTGCTAGTAAACTAATGTTCAACTTGCAGCAAAGTAACATGCAAAGTGATCTATATGTATACAAGTAAGAGTTATTATTAAAAAAATTGAACAATCATTTTTACATTTCGACTCTTTAAAAGCAATGCAGTTCACAACAACGGAAACTTGTTCGAACAAACATACATCATCTTTCTCCATTTCCTTCAGTTAAAGAAAACCTTCAGTTGTTAAATTCAAGATTAGTTGAAATCGTTTAGCTGTTATGAAGATTGGCACAACCGTACCCAGGTGTACGTTAATTCATAATTTCCACCCTTTCATTTGAAAATACTTTCGATAATTTTTGCTGGACATCTTAATGCTTTTTACGTGATTAGTAGATGTAGAATATGCTTTAATTTTTTTCTATTCGATTTAGTAACAAAACAGATTTTCTAACCCATTTTTAAACGAAATTTCCACAAAACGAAATTCTTTCCATATTGGCTAATTTGTGCCTTAGTTTGCATATTTCAATTAATTGTCTTGTTATAGGTAATACTCATACATATAGATATAAATTTTATCACATCGTAATTACTTCCATGAGCAATTATTTAATTTCATTTCGTCTGGTTAATAGCAAAAGTAATAAAATACATGACAGCATCCTCTGTGTCGTTCAGATTTATGTTATCTTACAAAGGGATATAGAAAAACGATGGTTTCAGTGTGCATTAAAAAAGTTTTATTGGAAAAATGACCAATCACCTCTGGGAAAAATCTTGCACGATGATTGATGTGTCTATCAAAATTGTATTATCTGTATGAACCAACGATTATTCTATGCGACCGCTTTTTGGCTGGGATACTAGTACTCAAATACTCATTTGTCCTTAGCTTATTGGTAAACGCATTATGTCATGTTAAAAAAAGGATATTGTAAAAAATGGATTACGCAATGGATTTTATAATGGTGCTGAAAAAAACAATATGCAATGATAGCAAATTGAACATGTTGCTTTATAAAGTAAACCGTGTTGTAAAGCATAGCTTGAAATATTTATTGTAGGATGAATTAAAAATTCAAATTGTTCCTGTTATGCTTTTAATCTGAATATAATATTCATAATTTATTTTACGATCATTAACCGACAGGTCGTTTAATCCCATATTATATAAATAATTACTACAGTCATGATTATTATTACTACATTGTTGCTAATTTGTAAAAATAATTTATAATTTGAGATTTAAACTTAACTTATTGTAAAGTAGAAAACAAGTTACTAATCAGTATTGTTATGTTGATCAAAAAAACAAAACTTTTCGTAGGGTACGTTATAGTTACGGTCCAAAAATCGAAAATGAAAATTTTTGCATATTTTTACGTTTTGGGCTCGCCCGTAGGTAAGCGGTTAAGAGCGACGGGACTTGTTTCAGAGGTCCCTGGTTCGATACCCACTTCGAGCAGTCTGTTGTCAGGCAGCAGTGACAACGATTTTCACTTGAAAATATAGATAGCAATATGTTTCCAAGTAAAAATAGCCCTTGCCCGGCATTGCTGCGTCAATAAAAAAGTCAGATCTATTAGATTAATTCTAATAACAAAATCATCAAATATGGATGGATTAACCATTGGGTTACCATCTAAAAAATTACCAAGGAAGAAGTTTCAGCCCAACAGCTCATAGGACGTAAGGTTCTGATTGCTGTTCAAAAATAAATTAAAAAAAAACTTTTCGTTTTAAAGGTTTCTGAACATTTTGGAATACCCCAGGATAAATGTATGTGTGTGTGCGGATACATGTGGATACAATTTTTTGTTGACGTTTTCGGAGTACCGCTCAACCGATTTGAATGATTCAAAAAGCAATCGATTTCTACTAATGGGGATTAGTGCTGATTAGTTTTAGAGTAAGGTCGGTCCAGTCGTTTCAAAGATACGGTGCAAAAAATTGCAGTTTTTGAGAGAACTTTTTTATATAGAAAATAATTCTGATATTAATTTTAAATCTGGCTAAAATTCTTAAACTTACTTATATACTTTAAATAAATAATTTTAACTATGCAATTCAGTTTATATAATTGTTAGAAATATGAGATAAAGTCCTTTAATTTTAACTTTGCTTGTTTGTTTTGTTCATTTATTTTTCATGTGGACTTACATAACGTCGTTGTCCAATTTATAATCTTTTATATTTTGTTTATAAAATGAAAATAATGAAAGTTTACATTTACAATAATTTATTTGAAAACTGCAATTTGCCTAGTTTTTGGAGTAACTTTCTGTTTTGTTATAAGAAACCGACGGCAATGTATTATTGCAATGTACGAGAGAAAAAGGTTAAATATATTAAATATTTTTTGAGGTTATATATCTTAGCTATAATCTTCATTGAAAATCGCTTCGCGTAGGTATAGTAGCATATCAAATGATAAAATGTTAACAAATACTTCAAGTAAAGTTAATTAGTCTTGCAAGCTGGATTGGATGGCCATTGGATTGGCCACTGGATTGCCATTCATTAACAAATACTTTAAGTATAGTTAATTAGTCTTGCTACAGCCAGCCTCTGAGTTTCTGTCTGA